ACTTGGACCTCGATTTCTCGTAAACTACTTAGATTCAGAGGTATCTGTTTGCAGGGGTCGCCCTTTTTGAGCGTCGCATGGCGACATACAAAGTTTCAGTAAAATTATGCGAGTATGGGATTTTGGCCCCTCGTACGTGTCGACCTCTGTGAGGAAAGCTACTGTATGTGTGCTAGTTGGATGAATTCCGCTTGTTCGAGCATCACATCACCTCATGACGATCGTGCCCTTGGCTTAACATGTATTTACGCCACCAACACCACATCAGCTAAGGGTTAGGTGCTTCACAACTGATAGCGATTGCAATCACTTGTCAAGTAGTTTAACCGCAGGAATGACATTGCGTATGGAAGTTTTGTCGGCCATGGGGGCCAACCCAGACAGCGGTCGGATATTTCGAGGTATGTATCGAGCTGGCTCAAGGAATATACCAAGCGAGCCGTGAACACATTAGTGCGTTTGGCCTTTGGCCTTGTCCGAGATTCGCCGAGCCCACGACCGGCGTATTCCGATACGAAGCGGTGTCCATGTCGTGCAGTTTGTTGGGTTCGCTTCAAAAGTGTTGTATTGTCTATGGGAAAGCATGCCTACTGAACACGATGACAAAGGCATAAAAGATGGGTGTACACCACCAACATCATCTCATCCAGGAATCAACTGCTTCACAAATGATAGCAATACCTGCCACTCTAAGGCAGCTTAACCTCGGATGTGGCATCGCAAACGGATGTGCTGTCGTCGTGGAGGGGTCAAGTCAGATAAGGGGTCGGATTTCTCGAAGTTTATATGGAGCTGGCTAAAGGTAGTGGCACAGTGCAAACTGCGCAAAACCTCCGAACAGTACACACAAATAATCCTTGCCCCTTGTCAAATTGGATGGCTGTTGCTCTTCCTGCCACGGGCAAGGCATCCAACGCTGTAATCCTTTCCGCTTCCGCCACCTCAGTCGAGGCGCCATCGTAAACAATGTGGACAGAATGAAATGGTTGCGCTGCACATAATGACAACAAGCCACAGCGAACTCTGTAGCACAGATTGCCAACGAGAGTGAATAGCACGTGGGGCGCGTGGGGGGTATGGAATTACGATTGCATTCGTTCAACGCTTGCCAAGGAGGCCTTCCAGATCTTGCAGTGAAACACGCTCACGCCTGTCCAGTTCGATCTACAATTTTTGCGATCGAGTTCTCGAGGGTGGCATTGGCACAACATCTCTCCACCAAGGCCTTGGCCAGCCTCCCTGCGAGACATGGTCTTCATCTACTGACAGCAAGGGCGCACATTTGACAGAGGAATCTCCATGCGCAACTGCCGGTAAGATCTCTCAGGTCCTTGGCGAGCAAGACGAGCTGAGTTCGATGGGCAAGGTTGAATTCGTTCTTGGCGAACTCAAAACAGAATGAAGGCATGACTGCGCCGGTGAGGAGGGTGGATGGAATGGCTGTGGGGGATTGGGCTGAGCATGCGGCGGCGGCCGTCGTTGAACCTGCAGCCACGCTGGCCATGACGAGGAGGGGTTGTTCGAACGAAAAAACACGAGCTTCTCGTTTTCGTGGTTCGATCTCGTCGCATCGACAGTGATGACTTCAGTCCACCGAGGTTGGTGCATTTACGGCTGCGTCGAAGGGGTCGGCGACGTCCTAGCTAAAGTCCATCAGTACGCAGCGAGGATGAAGCAGGGTACAGTCGCGTTGGCGTCGCCCCGCGGCATTCCCGACGAGCTCTTACAAATCGCGCCCGCAGTCCAAAACGAACGTGGTCCAGTTCCAGTTGTCGGCGCTGGCGTGAGGGTCAAGGCGTTGCCGCGCTGGTCTCTGGCGCGAAGGCACAGGTTGGATACGCCGTCAGCGGCTTCGGCCGTGACGTATGTGCACTTGAACCCGAACGTGTACTCGACCCCAACGTCTTAACTGGGTCGAACGGTTGCGACGCCGCTCCCACCAGAGTCGCAACGACGATGTCGCAAATGAAATATGAGGCCAAACATGTTGTGCACTGCAGGACGCGTAAATTGCACGTCGACAGAACATAACGATGAGGCAAAGCGCAGGCTGCGGCACCAGGTGCAACGTGGCATTCGACTTACCTCAGAAGGGAGTAGGGGGCAGAGGGGGGAGGTAAGCACCCCTCGTATTGTGTGATCTGTTGCTGCCGAATCGTTTTGAACCAGTCGTTGGAGACTTGCTGTACTCATGGTTGGCACCAGATTAGTACTAGGTGCACAACTAATGTACTGCTGCCGGCCACGACGATGCTACGATAGACATTCAACTGGCACTGGCTAGGTAGGCCACTGGCCTAGATTGCCTCGTCGAGAGTGCACGAGATGGTACGTCGTCGAGACGTTTTGAACAAGTAGAGATGGATGGCTGTGTAGAGCACGCACAAAGCAACACATCGCCTCCAACCACGATAAAAATGAAGTGACAGGATGGACCACCCAAGCCCCCGGGAGGCCGTCTGTGCACGCGCAGCCGAACGAAAAGGCAGATCTAATTTTCTCGCCTCGTCGAATGCTCTTAGTTTCCTCTCTTCGGTTAAGCAGCGATAGGCCGTCCTGCCATGCTGCTCCCATACGGACCTGCATGCGCGGACTCCTCGAGGACGGTTTGTGCCATCTCTCTCAGCCAGTTCGAATCGACTTGTATACGTTCTGAACCTGTCCAGGAGGCTTCGAGCACGACTCTATCCAGCGCGGGTGTCGCAACATCGTCATATCGCACCCTGCCTTCGGGGGACCTCTGATCTTTGAATGGTTGGCCGGTCGGTTCACACAAGGACGACATTGCGCATGCTATCGTGCGAAGATGCACACGAGGGACCGTACGCGATACGTCCTTGATTCAACGGCAGCATAGATGGATGTGTGCGCGTTGGAGAGTCGAGAAGACAAATGAGATGCAGTGTGCCCGTTGGAGCGTCGAAACGGCACGTGAGATGCTTGCAGTTCTCCTGAGTGCTCAATCACCTCGTGGGGAGAGATGTGCAAGAGGGGCTATAACAACGGCGTGCTCACTGCGCAATATGAAGTGGAGTCAAGGTGGATATTTGTTGAAGGGTTAGTGGCCTGATGCCCTTGCTCCAACCGCACGGGCAGCTCGTCCCGCCCATCTACCCAGTTCTACCGCTCGCCCGCAAAAATTCGGAGGCTTCGCCCGTCCACACATAGTTTCTGTCGTACCCCGCCAAACCCAACACGGGGTCCTCACAGGTTGGAGTTGTTCTCCGTCCGCCCCAGTTAGAAGATGGTTCTTGCAGGAGTTCATCTCGACGCCATGCGATGATCCGGCGACACCACCGTGGGTATGCGGCGCTGATACACCGAGGTATGCTGTCGTATTTGCGCCCCCAAGGGCCTGTACCATTGCTTCCACGCGCTCACCTCTGCCAACAAATTCTTTCCGGTTTTGGTTGCGGGCCGTTGCGGCACGGACGGACGATCAAATCAGGTGGAAGAGCAAGAAATGTTCAGGAACCACTCTTTTAAGATGGCGCAGGACGAGGAAGCTTGTGGATCACGTGAAGGGGTATGACCTGTCGGGGCGTCTGCTCTCATGGAAGAAGCCATGGCATCATCGCACAACACATCCAATTCTAAGGGGGGCGGTACAACTCGAATTGGGGGGGGGGCGGAACGAGGAGGAAGGCTAGCACATCGAACGTGCTTGGGTAGGCAACGCTTGGATTGGAACGCAATGCTAGTGCGAATCTTTACTTCCGTGTGCAGCCAACCTGGGGGGGGGACAACGCCCACATCACTCCCCTCGACCCTTCACACCACCCCGCGACATAGAGCAGGATCGTGCAGAGACAAACCGTCCAAGCTGTCGATCGTCTCGTTGCGATCTCTGAGTCAGCTGAGTAGACCATGTGCTTGTGCTGCTTGCCTTGAATTGGGTGTATGAGCATTTCCCAACTTTGCCATCCTATTTCAACTTGGTCGAGGCAACATACAGCATTCTCAAAATGCCAGAAAGTTCCGATCACGTTCTGTTACGTTAACTGGGCAGCAACGTGTCTTGCGAGCCCCAGGAAGTCGTTGACAATGGCTTCGATGTCGCGCGGCGGTCGGGTGCATCGTGTGAGTGGTATCGGAGGCATAGCGTGGGGTTTGGATACACGGTCGGACGTACTTGCCCCAGAGCGCGACAACATCTTGCCACCTCGACGGATTGCTGCCAATCCATGTCTGATCAATGTGCGGCTGTCCCAACCAGAGGCCATTCCGGCATACAGCCTGCTGCATAATTTAGAGTCCCCATCCCCAACGCCTAGATTGAAACGAGCGGCGACGAGAGACACGGAACAAGGCAGCAAACGTGCTCAGGTCCTCGGCGGCATCCAGATATTCGAGTCGATCGTATCGTTGAGAACCAATGAAGGGCACGGGGCATTCAAAGTGGAGAGGGGGGGACGCCACCCCACCAGCAATTTTCAACTCCAACGATGGGCACGACCACGGCGCTCCGGGACGCACATTGCGCGAAGCCTTCACCCATTTACATTAGAGCGGCTGTTGATTCTCTCCCCCAAACCACAATCGCTCGACCGACACGTCGCGACGCTCGTCGGTGTTCGTCGCGGGTGCATGACCCATGCACGATGCAGCATGTCTGAGCATTCCGATGACTCCGGTCAAACCGCCACCGCCATCGAGTCATTCGGCCACCCAGTTCGACGAGCTCCGACGGCTCCGGGGGGTGGAGCATCGTCGCACTCATACGTATCGTGACATCCAATATGCCATGAGCACACCCAATTCCACTGATTCGGTCCCAGGTTGGCTCAGGTCCTTGGGATCGACGCCACGTGATGTAGGCAGGGCGCGGGGCAACCCTACCATTCTGACAAATCGTTCTGGTGTTACCAGAGCCCAGCGTGGCTCGCTTCTGATACCCATCCCATCCACACGCACGGATTGCCATGTGTCGGGCATGGTGGGATGGCCACCCCGACGAACAAACGTGCAGAGCCGTCCATATTTGTCACTTTTGAAAATCCCCGACACCGACACATGAGTTATTCTCCGCCGCGTGTTCCTCGCCGACGCGGGATTTGCATCGTGCCGGACTGCGGCAACCAAGTCTACGCGCGCAAATTGTGCTGCCGCCATGGTGCCAAGAAGCAGTGTGCATTTGAAGGATGCACGCTGCGCGCCCGACTGAATGATGTGTGCTACAACCACGGAGCGGCCAAGAAGGAATGTGCCGAGTACGGATGTACCCAGCCCGCACAAGCTCGCCATCGGTGCGTCAAACACGGAGGCGGACGCCATTGCAACGCAAACGGATGCACTTCCCACTCACGCATCGGCGGGTATTGCCAGCGCCACCGGTACGCCCCGACGCAGATGGAACACGGCGAGTACGGCATGCCCTACACGTGGGGTGACGACTACCAGTCGTCGTTGGGGAACCCGTCGTACCATCACTTCCGATCGTACTCGATCGACTCGATGGACGACGTGAGCTACGTCGATCCCCCCCTGGCCACGATCGACCCGAGCCTGCAATGCATCATCGACAACATTTGCTTTGCGCCAATCCGATGGCACCCTCTCCGAGGCGACGACGCTGCCATGATGCAGGAAGTGTTTGGCCTCCTTAAGTCGTTGTGACCGTGGCATACATATTTAGTGGGTAACGATCGGTTTATCGCACATCATACCACCGTCCCTGTATCTGTCCTCTCTATTTTCCTTTAAGCACCCAATTGCAAGCTGTGTGCTTCGTCCACTGTCGTAGGTGATGCACGGCGCGAAAGGACGAAGCTGGGGGGGGTTCCGATTAGAGATAGGGGGGCACGACGTGCGATCAATGCCCAAGCTACGGAATCTCTTGAGCTTCATTCGCCGCTCTCCCTCTGGGCCTCCCACACCTTGTCCGGCTCAGTGCATACATCGGTCGGCAACGTGGCCCCGTGTGTGTTTCCAACCATTCGGTATTCTCGTCGTGGCAATCTGGATGGCTCGGACGACTTGAACTTCTCCCGGCGCTTCTGCGACAAATCCTAGCTCAACGAAACCAACGACGTCGCTCATCCCACGCTTCGTCCCACTCGACGCGGTCATGGCTTGGCACGGAAACCAGGTTGTTGCAACGGGTTGGTATCGCCAGAGGTTTCCGCACTCAGTTTGGGTGGTACGATGGACACACTCAACACGCCTCGCGATTCCGAGCAACCGCCTCTTTCATGGCTTGTCGCATGGAGGGCCTTTAGGCACAGCGTCCCGATGTGTTTGATCGGATGAGAAATCACCCCATCGTATTCCCGAGACAACGCCCTCCTGCCACGTGAGCAAGCCCCGGCGTTGGGGACACGAGCTCCTCCGAGTCGTCTCGTTGGAGGGGGGGCTGCCGCTGACCTTGTACTTAAGGGGCAACGTGAGCACCACTAGGCAAATCGACGACGTCCATACGCTCGACGTGTGCACAACCGCAGGGTTGGTGTTGAAGTTGTGAAAAATACATGCAAGGATCACTATTGGTCGAGTCAGGCGAGTCACAAGATCGTCGTCGAGTGGCGTTGCTCCAATAAGATTGGAAATCCTGTCGACGTGGTGACACGACCTAACGACAGGCCCCTCGCTGCATCTCACGTGCGGTGTGGGATGGCGAAGTTGTTGGTTTGCGAAATGCGTCCAGCAGAGTTGAAGCGTGCGCGCTGATCTGGTTTCGTTGCCGTGTCGACACGTGCTTGTTGGGTGTTGTTTATGTAGACAAATCAAGGATTGGCCATGTGCAGCGCAGCCAGCTGGACGAATGCGTTGAGAACTCCGCGCTGCGCAACACGACGAACAGCTGGGATGACTCAGCGAGTGATCAAGGGGGGTCGTGGACGTATGGACGGCAACGAGGCATGCAAAGGGGAGAGGTTGGGGGAAGCCATCACGACGTGCGCTCGACCGACAACGGGGTGGTCGGGTGTCCTGGCTCAATGGATCGAAAAAAGCCTGGCGAGAGGCGGTAGGGGGGGGGCTGCCGCCCCCCTCTGCTTTATGGTGGTCCATCGTCCCACCCCGTGTCGGAAATACTCCAATGGAACCCCTTCACACGACGTGGAGTTGTACCATGATGCAGGAAGAAGAAACGACAAACATGATTCTGATGCTGGACCTGAGAGCCATTCCCGAAGTTGCAGGACGGGCGAGTGAGCCACATAATCAGAGCGCTGTTGTCGATGCTGTTCATCTCTCACGCATGAGATGGAGACAGATACGTCCACGCATTTCTGAGCTAGATGCACCGACTTGGTCCATACTGTCATGGTGCTGGAGTTGGATCACGTGTTTGCGCACGGGAGGGGCGGCAACGAGGTACCGCCCGCCTCCGGCACTGTCGCCACAAACCTGAATGGTGGGTTTGCGATGTTGTTTGGGGGATGAGGTCACCGCAGGATGGGACACCTCTTCGTTGTTTTGAATCACCGTGCTGTCTAGCTAACGAACGCCAACGCTCAATGTCCCCTCCACTGTCCCAAGGGGCGCCGGAATGCACGACCGACGCCGCGGAACATCGCAGTGTCAACTGTCCTGTTCCCACGGCACCAAGAGAAATGCAAATGGCATCGAAGAGGAGTGCGTCGCCCAGACTCGTGCACCGCCATCGTTGCGCTCTGGAACTTTTGATCGAGTCGATGAACGTGACACGGAGCGGCGCGCACGACTCGACAAGGGGCACGCAACCTTTTGATGTCCTGATTACAAAGATCGACAACTCTTGTTGTGGTGGATCCGACCATGTGGAGTTCCTGCGAGTGCTGCTCCCGATGCACGCTGAACCAAGACTAGAGTTCTGCTTGTGCACGGCTTCTTGGGCCAACTAGCAAACGGGGGACGGCGTTGTTAGTTGGGTTTGTCAGCACGTCGGTGGAATCGATTGAATCGATTCCCCGTGATGGAAAAATCAACGTCGTGACGGTCTCATTGCGTCATGGACCAGTCTGCAAGCAATATGTGCGGTCGACACGAGACAAGGACATGTGGATGAATGGGCATGGATATGCCCCAGCGACAATTTCGCAGGCGACTCGACCCCAACCACACTCGTTCGTTTCAAGGGCCCCATGGTCGGTACCTTGATCACATTGGCAACCATGCTGCCGATCGAGTGTAATGTGCGATCGGTATTCTGTGGTCGTCGCTCCGACAGACTGGTCAAGTTGCCCGCTCCTGTCTATATCGACCTTCGAAGCAACGAGGACGACCACCGGACGATTTCACCATGGTGTCGAGGTGTTCCAAGCCAGCGAAGTCGAAACATTGGATCCAGCGATTATGCAATTGCACAGACCCAAGACGAGGGTAAAATGCCTCGAGTTCGACAGGCGGGCAACAAGTTGCGGATAGCCCCCGCCCTCCATTCGATAGAGCCCTTGATCGTGATGAATGTGCATCGTAGCCCTCGACGCAACCAGGGGCGTATGCCGTATCGCATTGATGGTCGCGATGTTGGCGCAGTCAAACTTCCCGTAGTGTGGGGGGACCTGTATTAGAGAGCTCGACGAATGGTTCCAACAGTCGTTGGAGGGAATGCAATCATGGCGTTGGTCGCAACGACTTGCTCAGTGTGGACCCTAGAGGACGAACAAGCCCGATTCGCATATTGTTTTCTGGGCTAGGAGTGAAGTAGAGCCATCATCGCAGGGTTTTCTTGACTCAAGTTTCTCCAACAGCATGCCCAAGGGTTGAACTTGATGGTGTCGATCACACACGCTGTTCACGGTGCATCATGCAGTGACGTTGCATCATGTAGTGACTTTGGCGAAGTCATCGTGAAAGTTGAAATGTGCCTTTTGACATGGATAGTGTGTCCCGTTCCAGCCGGCGCGCGACGGGCCCGTTCGACGCTCCAGTGAATTGATGCCGCCGTACAGCCCCCCAAACACGAGATTCAGTGCACCGATTTACTTTAACGTTACAACGTCGGCCTCCGCCATGTCGAACAAAGCGCTGGCACGCCTGGGCGCTGTTGTCCGGTGAAAACCATGGTGAGAGGTCTTCAAGTTTCTCGGACGTCTGAGAACTGTGATTTTCCCCGAATCCTGGGCTCTTACTGGCTCACTCCATATTGCATACATTTATCGAGATTGATTCGGATGTAGCCGAGTGGAATACATCTAGGTAAGTGGACCCGCTCGAAACCTTTAGCCAGCTACGACTGTGAACCTAACTTCGACAATTTCGCAGGCGACTCGAGCGCCAACCACACTCGTTCGTTTCAAGGGCCCCATGGTCGGTAACTTGATCACATTGGCAACCATGCTGCCGATCGAGTGTAGTGCGCGATCGGTATTATGTGGTCGTCGCTCCGACAGACTGGTCAAGTTGCCCGCTCCTGCCTATATCGACCTTCGAAGCAACGAGGACGATCACCGGACGATTTCACCATGGTGTCGAGGGTTTCCAAGCCAGCGAAGTCGAAACATTGATCCAGCGATTATGCAATTGCACGGACCCAAGACGAGGGTAAAATGACTCGAGTTCGACAGGCGGGCAACAAGTTGCAGATAGCC